CCTGATCTAGCCGATAACCTGGCCTTGCCTGGGTATTTATTTATTTATTTATTAAATTTTGTATGCCGCCAACTCTCAAAAGAGACTCAGGGCGGCTTACAATAAAAGGGAGGGGGGATATAAAAATAAAATAAAAGAACAGTTTAAAATTACACCCCAGGGGAGGTCCTTCTCTGTTGCAGCTCCGGCCCTCTGGAACGAGCTCCACGTTGAGATCCGGACCCTCACTACCCTTCCAGCCTTCCGCAAAGCGACTAAGACCTGGCTGTTCCGGCAGGCCTGGGGCTGTTGAGTTGTCCAGCCCCACTTCAGGTTTGTGACTGTTGTGTAATTTTAAACTGTTCTTTTATTTCATTTTTATATCCCCCCTCCCTTTTATTGTAAGCCGCCCTGAGTCTCTTTTGAGAGTGGGCGGCATACAAAATTTAATAAATAAATAAAGGAAAAAGTTTTAGAAACTTCCTAAAATTGTTTAGTATTGACCATGCTGATTGGCTGTAGTAACCGTTTTAATTAAAAATACCGGAAAAGTTTTTTTTATCATCTACGTATAGAAAAGCAGCTAATCATATACATTGTTTTATACAGTTGCGCTAGGAATGACTGCTTCTGGAATCCAGCAGGGATGGTCACAATGACAATGGCAATCAGGTGACCTGGCTCACTACCACATTGCCATCGCAAAGCTGGGCAGCCAGATCACAATCATGATCACAGAGATATTACAACAGCCAGAATTTTCAGGACTCAGTGTAGGTCTATTTCCACCCCCCACCCCAACAAATCATCATTATCATCATCTTCCAAACTTGCACTGTTATTTCACTGGTACATTTACCCGTACTTTTATTTTACATTCCTGAAAGTTTCTAAAATAAAAAGATTGGCATAAACATTTCCACTTACCTTCTTCCTTTTCATCGTCTTCGTCGTCGTCATCATCGTCTTCATCTTCACTGTCATGGGCAACCTTTTCTTCCTAAAAACAATAATAGGTTTGAATAGGTTTGCCTTAGAAAGTAAATACCTTTGCTCCTGTTATCATATCTGTTTCCCATTTTCTGCTCAGTGGGCAAAACATTTTAGACAAACACTGATGCTAATGTATTGTAATCCAGCCTTCAATTTTTTGTTACCATGTTAGTAGCAACTAATGAGAACATAAACAGAAGAGAAAAAAAACCAAGGTCATTATTTCAGCTGCTCAACTATCAGAGTTCCTTATCAACATGAAGGGCGGGATTGGGGAATGTTGGGTTGGTTTCAGTATCATTATGCTGATGATACCCTATTACAGGTAGTCCTTGACTTACAACAGTTCATTTAGTGACCATTCAAAGTTACAATGGTACTGAAAAAAGTGACTTATGATCATTTTTCACACTTATGACCATTGCAGCATCTTCAAAATCACGTGATCAAAATTTGGGTGCTTGGTGACTGACTCATATTTATGACAGTTGCAATGTCCTGTGGTCATGTGATCACTTCTATAATCTTCTGACAAGCAAAGTCAATGGGGAAGCAACAATTGTATTACTAATTTAACAGCTGCAGGAATTAACTTAATAACTATGGCAAGAAGTCATAAAATGGGGAAAAATTAACTGTCTCGCTTAGAAATGTTGGACTCAATTGTAATCGTATGTCGAGGGCTACCTGTGTATCTTTTGACCCCAGACCAGCCATGTAAGGCTGCCAAAGTTCTGTCCCAGTGCCTGGAAGCTGTTTTGTATTTGGAAGGGGAGGAACCATGTCTGCCATGACTCAATCTTACCAAGATCGAGTGGCTGTAGTCGGTGTTTGAGCCAACCAGATCTGGAAATATTCCCTCTCTAATTTTGGATGGGGTAGTACTTCCCCTTGAAGTTGGCGCACAATCTGGGAGCCTTCCTGTGCTTGCAGCGCCTGCCTGAAGAGCAAGTGGCAGCTGTGATCATGAAGGTTTTACATAAATGCATCAGGGACACCAGTTGCTACTTTTCCTAGATCAGGGAGCCTTTCAGATAAGACACCTTGGACCACGTTACCTTGCGTTTGACTCATGCAAGCAATATTTTACTAATGTAACACATTATGCCCTTGAAGACTACCAATAAGCTTGAACTGGTCCAGAATCCAGTGTGAGCAGTACAGGGCAAGCATTGGGATGCCAATGTTAACACATCTGCTTTGTGAGCTGCATTGGTTGCCAGTTTGCTTCTGGTCACAATTCAAGGTACTGGCTCACTCTATATATTAAAAAAAACCTATAGAGCTCTACATGGCGTAGGCCTTATTACTTGAAGAACTACCTGTCTCCCATAGCATCTGCCTGGCTAATTTGATCCTGTAAGTCAGGATTCTCCAGATTCCACTGATCCACCTATCAGGACCTCAGAAGACTACCTTCTATAGCAGTGCTTATAACAAGGTTCCACTGACAATCCAGATGATCCCCACTCTACTGTTGTTTTAGAACAGGGGTGTCAAATTCGATTTCATTGAGGGCCACATCAGGGTTGTGTTTGACCCTGGCGGGGACGGGGAAAAAGACTGGCCAGCTTGACATCACTTGTCAAGGGCACCTGTGGTAGCCTAGTGCTAAAGCAGGACTTCCCTCAGACCCTCTGTCTCCTTCTTTCCTTCCCTCTTTGTCCTATCCCTCTTTCCTTCTTTTTCCTTCCTTCCTTGCTCTCTTCCCATCTTTCCTTCTTTTTGTCTTTCCTCTTTCCCTTTCTCCTTTCCTATCCCTTCTTGCATGCTCAAATGAAAAAGGGGAAACCTTTCTCCTTTTGTTGTTTTGCTTTCAGTTTGTTTTGCTACCCTTTGCCAGCAAAAACAGAGCTTGGGTGGCCACACGCGCCCCCTCCCCTGCTCCATTTTCACTGGCAGAGGCACGATGGGCCGGTCCTTTGCTTGTTTCCAGGGTGGTCCCATGGGCCAGATCTAAGCACCCCATGGGCTGGATCTAGCCCACCAGCCTTGAGTTTGACACCCTTATTTCAGAAGAGCTGTGAAGATGTGACTCTTCATCCATGCATTTGGTAAGGGAGACACTTGCCATCTAACTTTTATGTTGATTTTATTGTAATTTCTGTTTGATTGTTGTAAGTGGCTCAGAATTATTTGGGGTACGATGCTATGCTTGTAGTAGTACTAGTAGTAATAATAGCTACTCTTCTTGTAGTTTGATAAATAAGCGTAAAAAATTTACTACAGACTTAAGAGAAAACAATATTTTAAACCAACCTCTCCACTAATTTCATCGTCTTCATCTTGTCCTCCTTCATATCCAAACAAACCATAAAATGAATCCTCCTCGCCATCCTCGTCTTCGTCCTCATCCTCATATATGTCATCGGAATCCTCATCCTCATCTGAGAAAGAAGAGTTTTATATATATCAAATAGGAAAGCTGTCATAAAATCACAATAATATTAGTTCAAAGGGGTTTCCTGTTAAATATCTGCTAAAAAGAGCATATACTGATATCGACAAACATTTCATAAATTATATCCAGTTACAATTTATAAATGAAGCAGTATGAGTTTAAATTGTCAGTCTAAAAGAGGAGAGGTTAATAATTTGCAATCTATTACAACAGTTTGCTATATTACTACAGATTCCTTAATATATTAGGATCTGGATTGCCAATGTTATCCCTTGAGTGTCGATGTATCCCTAGAAATCTCTCTAGGCATCTACCAGGCTCCATGTCCACAATGGTAATTTTATTTAAACAATCCTTTGCCCACCTATTGAGAAAACAGTAAATTGAGGTTACAATCAGGTAAAGACGATAAAGGGGAACATCACATTCCAGTTTTTCTTCTTGGAAATTGGTGTGTTTTGTGATAGATCATACAAACCATAATAGTTATTCTATGCTTTAAAACTGATCTTTCTCAGCTGACAAAGTATTTTTGATTCAAATATAGTGGAAAATGCCAGGTTTTTAAAATGAAAAAAAAAATCAGACCAAAATAAATAATGGAACCATGGAACATCATGGAGACAGTCATCAACAAGTTGAGAAAATATGACACAGCAGTGACATTAGCCAGAACTGGATGTTCCTCCAAAATGATGAAAAAAACAACAAGAAAACTGGTCCCAGAGGCTGCCAAGAAGCCTGCACCAACATTAAAGGACCTGCAGGAATTTTTGGCAACTACTGGTTGTGTACCATATGTGACAACAATCTCATGTATTTTTGAATGTTTGGTCTGTAGGGTAAGGTGGCAAGACGGAAAAACATCCAATCCCACCTACATTTTGCAAAAATTTATATCAAGTCTGACAAAAGCAATGGGAAAATGTGTTATAATCTGATGAGATCAAGGTTGAACTTTTTGGCCATAATTCCAAACGGTATGTTTGGCAAAAAAACAGTACTGTGCATCACCAAAAAAATACCTCATATTAACAGTGAAGCAAAGTGATGGTAGTATTAGACTTTGGCTGCTTTTCTTCAGTTAGGATTGCCGCTTTAGTCAAGATGGAGGGAATTATGAACAGTTCCAAATATCAGACAATTTTGGCACAAAATCTTTAGGCTTCGGCTGAAGATGGATTTCACCTTTCAACACAATGACTCAAAGCATACATTCAAATCAACAAAAGAATGGCTTCACTAGATCAGAATTTTGGAATGGCCCATACCGGAGCCCATACCTGAATCCAATTGAAAATCTGTGGGAAGAACTGAATAGGGCTGCACACAAGAGAATCCCTCATAATCTGACAAATTTGGAGGGAAGAGTAGGCAAAGATGATAGGCTGCTATCCCAAAAGACTAGATGCTGTCATAAAATCAAAAGGTGCTTTAACAAAGTATCATTTTAAGGGTGTACAGTTATGCCACCATATTAATTGTATATTTCTATTGTTGTTTTCTCCCCTAAAAGATTTTAGTTTGTTTTTTAGTTGAATTGTACAGCTCATGTGTTATATTAAAGATGGGAAAATTCTGAAGTGATTTATCTTGGTCTGATTTTTTTTACATTTAAAAATATGGTCGTATAGCAGAGTTTTATGGACTTTTTATAGCCACTATATAATGCAGAAAATATTTCCAATTTGGTAAATTAGTTTAATGCAGTGTTCCAAATGACTCAAATGTCATATTTACATTAGGCAGAACTTGATCACAGTCAAGAATTAACCCTTTCCAATCTACAATTAATATGATTGAGCTCACCTTCCTCATCTTCCTCATCAAAACCATCTAATTCAGCATCTGAATCAGAAGCCTCTTTATCTTCCTGATCATATCCATCCAGATATGTGAGTTGTGGAAGAAGTGTGAAGACACACTCTCGGTAGTCATTTAGATTTGTTACTTCACAGTTGAACAAGTCAAGGCTCTTCAGAGAGTCCAACTTTTTCTGAAATAAAAATATGCTTTTGTTAGTTTTAAGTATTATTAATATATTGACCTCATACACAAACCTGGCAAGGTATGCTGATAATTTCAGTTTGGATTGGGAGGGGGAGCGAGATAAACAAGCCATGAACTGAGCTGATACAGTGTATTCTTTCATGATATTCCCAAATTAAATATGATTTTATAATGTAATTAACCTAACAGCCCTCAAAAGAACAAGACTTGAATTTTGAACCATATATATTTCTCACTCAATATAACAGAAGAAATTATCACATTTACTAATAAACATTTTTAAAGAAGTCTCCCTTAATCAATGTGAATTAATCTAAACCTATTTCAGTTCATTTAAAGATCCCTTTCTAATCTTTGTGTGAAAAAACAAGATCAAATGATGCTATCTCTCTGATCTGCTGCTTTTTTTTAAATGGAGAGTCCCTTCTTCCCTGCCCATGAGGACACTACTTTCTATCTCACACTGAACTCTTATATTCTAGGTTGGATAAAAGTAAATGCAGACTGTACATAAATATAACTTCCTCCTATTTTAATACATTACTCCATATAAGTTAATATTTTAGGATGATTTCTAACAATAAGGTATTGTTGTCTGCCTTCACAACTAACTTAAGCAGCTTTAATATTCCGATTTCTGATGAGGTAGAAAAACAATTTTAAAATTATAATCTACCTGACAAAAAGTGTTATCTAATCAGAAAGAAATCACATGTATTGACATGAAAACATAATAATCTTGAACAAAAATATAGCATCCATGCTAACTTAGATTATGCCAACAGTTGACAAAGAAATGTTACTGTCATACACAAACATTTCAACGCTCTCTTGGATTTAAGGTGAACTGGCATCTTTCAAAGATATTAGCCCCTGAAATGGGGTTAGGCTCAAAATGCTTAAAGTTACGTACAAAACGTAACACATCTGATTTGGGCAATGATTTGGATGCATTTAGTGTGAGTTCAACATGTACTACTGGTATTAGTATTGTTATCCCCATTGAGACATAACATAACCTTTTAATGACATACCAATGGTTCCAAAGTATCAATATCCTTCAGTTTATTTCCACTGAGATTTAAATGTGTGAGGTTAGGAAGTTTTTCTGCTAATACATCAAGGCCTCCAGAAATTCTGTTCTCACTTAGTTCAAGCTGTAATGAGAAAAGAGACACACAGGGGAAATGGCACATCAGCAATAATGCAATTAGAACTCAAGAAGTCTAAAGATGCAGTATAAATAACATTGGTAGCCCAAGCAGTCTTCATTATCAAATACTAACAAAAAGCAGACTAACAAAGAGATGTTTAAATAGTCTAGCAACTTAGCTAGAATGCAGTGCTGCCGGGAATTATTACATCTTGTTAATTTACATTATAAGAAATACAACCATAGTGTTGCCAAAAAGATCCAGTCAAGATATACAGGCATGCATGGAAGGTTTTCTAGATGAATTTCTTCAGTGGAATTGCAAGAACTGCAACTTGGTGAAAATTGTCTTTTGGATATTCCTTGTTTCTTTACAGGATTGCACCTACCTGAATATTGCTTGGAAACAAGTCTATGTTTTAAAATACTATGTTTCCCCAAAAATAAGACCCGGTCTTATTTTCTTTTGTGCTCCAAAATAAGCACCAGGTCTTATTTTCAGGGGATGATTTACCTGCTTATCTTAGGACCACCACAGCCAGGCCTCCCATACCCTGACGCCCGCCCAAATTCTTCTGTGGCCACTCATGGACAGACACCATGTAGCTCATAGTGCCAGTGCTGCAGCTGACAGCAGAAGGCTGCATGGTGTGTTGTGCGTTAGCAGTCGCCACCAGCACACACCATGTGGCAACCTGTTGCAAGTGGCGGCACCGACATGATGTGCCATGCGGCATCCTGCCACAAGCAGCAGCATTAGTGCAATGAGTAGCAACCTTGACAGCTTCACTTGGCTGACCTAGCTGTTAAGAGTGCATTTTTCCAACTTCTGGTTTCTTTTATGCAGGCAAGTTGTCTCCGGTATTTGTGCATCCAGGAGTTAGAGCATAGTTTTATTATTTGCCAATAAAACTTTTTTTTACAGAATTATATTAATCTCCTTAGAGTAGAATAACAAAGGGACAGGAAACCCTATACCAATGATGGCTAACCTTTTTTGGATCGTGTGCCAAAAGCGGGGGAAGCTCAGAGGGGTTGTGCGCAGGCGTGCCACACACTAATGCTATGCATGTGACCCCAGGAGCCTAGGGAGGGCGAAAACAGCCTCCCTTGCCCCTCGGAGGCTTCAGAAGTTTCCCTGAATCCTCCGGAGGGCAAAAAACGGCCCAACATACAAACCGGAAGTCCGTTTCCGAACTTCTGGTTTGCTTCAGGGAAGCCTCCGCAGGGTGAAAAAAGGGCCAAAAAAAAGAGGCCAAAGTCAGTTGGCCAGCGCACACATGTGCGCTGGAGCTGACAGGGCAACACCTGGCGTGCCCTAACAAATGGCTCCACGTGCTACCTGTGACACACATACCACAGGTTCGCCATCACAGCCCTATACCATTCCAGACAAATGGTTGTCCAATCTCTTCTTTAAAACTTCCAGTGTTGGAGCATTCACAACTTCTGGAGGTAAGTTCTTCCACTGAATAATTGTTCTAACTGTCAGGAAATTTCTCCTTAGTTCTAGGTTGCTTCTCTCTTTGATTAGTTCCCATCCATTGCTTCTTGTCCTGCCCTCAGATGCTTTGGAGAACAGATTGACCCACTCTTCTATGTGGCAACCCCTGAAATACTGGAAAACTACAGTCATGTCAC